GTTCTTGATAGTCCAGTGTTCTCTTTTTACACCCTATACTTATCTAATCATGTGGCATTTAGTGTGATAGTGCCACAGTGTTTTTTTCACAGATGATGACTTATCAAACTTTCTGCCATTCTATCTATGATAAGATTTTCATACAAGCCACATTCAAGAGTTAACTATGATAGATTTTTTTCTTACAAGCTGACTTCAATCTAATGAAAAAAAGTCTTGTATTGTGTGTTGGTTTCTATCCTACTTCGATATCTAATGGTATATTATCAAAGTATGTAAATAAATAACATATTTTCCAGATTTATGCAACGATTTGAGTGGCAACTGCTTTCTTCAGCAACAAAGCCAATTAAAAAACTAAGAAACAAAGAATTACACAAAGTAAACATAATACTAAAATTCATTTTAGTCTTCACTAGATTAGACCCATTGAGTCTATTAGATGTGTTATGTCACCATGCAGCATTTGACTGAATGGGCCTATTTTAGTTTAGATCAGTGGATTGCCAGCCATAATTTTAGACATAGAGACATATAGTGCAGTATTCTAACTGATACATTTCGAATTTAAAATTGAGCTGAGTTTCCTTATTTGAAATATATAGAACAATGGAGTTGTCTTTCTGGATTGCTCCTTTGGGACAGTCTCGTATGATGCATTCACATAGTTTCAGGTGGCCTTCAGTTGACCTATACTGGATTATGTCTCCTCAGTACGAAGTAATTCTGCAGGGCATTGTTAAAATATGCAATTCAGGTTTTTTAGAATACACGAGTTCATCTGTTTGTTGAAGATTTGCTAGGATATGCCAGCAGTGATAACTGATAGGGTCACCCTCTTTGATATCTGTTACAGAAGTAGCTCCTCAAATTGTACATGCAGCAACCTGAATAAGTTTGCTTGTGAAAAGGGTCAGGAAGTGTCACCGCTGTGTAAACAAATCACGTTTGCAGGCTTAACTGTAGCTCTAAGGAAGGTGTTAGCATTGTATCATATGGAAAGAAACAGCTGATAGATAGCAGGCATTCCTATAAATCTCCTGTTTGTAATTCAACCTGTCATCAGATAGGGGATGAGCCTGCCTCCTAAATCCAGCTATAAGTTGAAGAGATGATATCGGATACAGCTTGGCAATGGAACATACAAAATAGTATCTGTAGAGGATATGATAAAATCACTATAGATGTAGCAAACAGCCTAGTTTGAATTATATGAGACAATAGCTAGTGATTATCAGGCCACATGGGAAGCAATGAGTGACCATAGATAAGATAGATTTGTTAAACTACTTCTGTAGCCAAGTGTTGTTTTACATGATATAGATGTGTATTGTCCTGTTAAATTCTCTGCAATTTTCGTAAGATTGTTGCACCAAGCTGCTAAAATTTCTGTGTGTTGTTCTTAGAACCGGACCATTTGTTAAATCAATAATAATTAATTCAGTGTTGCCTTAAATGAAGCACTTTTTGAATACTGTTTTATAACATTAAAAATTTATCGCTGGCATTAATAAAGTATATTGTTCTTGCTGCACCGGTGAAAGGACAAAGAGTTGGGAGAGGAAGGAAATATCAGTGAGAGTTTGGCAATAAAAAAGAGCATTTAAAGCACAAAGAGTATATGCAAATGAGTAAGCTGTCTCTGGAGAAATAGAGATTCACTGATGTTATATTGAAATATTGAAAATAGGAGTAGTAGCATTTTAAGTGTTTTCACACAAATAATAAGCAAACAGGACTGTATGAGGTATGGTTTTTCTGTATAGTTCTCATTCTGTTTTTCAACCACTATTTTGTATTTTCTTTTTTATTATAAACAAAATCTAATAGAACTAAAATTAAATTTTTATCATGTGGTTAGAGATAGGTCCTCGGAAGGGGGAAGCAGCAGTAACCTTCCAGTTTTGTTGCAAGAGTTATCAGCCTTCTGAGCAGCATTTTTTCATATAAACTATTATTTTGGTACAAAAGAAGTAGAAGTGAAGTGAAAAGAACTTTTTCTAATTCCTTGCACTAACATTATAAAAGTGCAGGGTGAGGGGTTCAAAACTCTAGTCACAAATTTCAGAACTCTTGTTTGAATAGCCAGATTTGTATTGTAACACTTCAAGCAAGCCATGTTTGTTGGTTCAGAGGGAAGCACAAATTCTGATTTAAAAAAAATAACCAAAATCAGCATGGGAGATTTTTTTTTTCCATGTCAGGAGCGACTTGAGAAACTACATGTCGCTTCTGGAGTGAGAGAATTGGACATCTGCAAGGACATTGGCTAGGGGATGCCCTGATGTTTTACCATCCTTGTGGGAGGCTTCTCTCATATCCCTGCATAGGGAGCCGGAGCTGACAGAGGGAACTCATTTGCACTCTCCCCGGATTCGAACCTCTGACCTGTCAGTCCTGCCGGCATAAGGGTTTAACCCACTGCGCCACTGGGGATAGGAATTGGAGATAGAAATAATTAAGAAATGAAGTGAAGTGAAGTGAAGATAGGAAGGGGGAAATACATTCTTCAGTATCACATGGATTATTTCATATCAAACTAAACTCTGAGTTAAGAATGTGACTATTATGCAATGAAATATAGTATTCTATTATGTAAGCCAAACTATTGCAAGTTAGTATAACATACACAAAGCTTCTGTATGAATTAGTAAAGCTAAGAAATGTATGTGCTATGAAATACAAGTTTATAATACATATATAAAATAGACCATGTTTGCATTTATCCATATTGAGCAAAATACCTTTAAGCATGTTTTGTAACTGTTTTATTTTAGAAATCTTATATATATATATAACTATTTAGTATGTACTTAAGTTATTTTAGTTTTATATTTCTGGATTGAAAGAGTATAATTTTGTATTGCTTTGCATGGGGAAGAACAGCCAACCTACTCAGCTATATCATAACAAGTGAAAATGATTAAATGGTACTGGATTCACAGCTCAGTTGTGACAATTAGATATCCTCTGGTGTGTTAATAATAAATCATTCTACAATACTAATTAAGTATACTTCTTCAAGTCATTTCATTTCAACAACATTCTGCTAAAAACTATGTTCCTTGGAGACCTGTAATTGAGCTGTATTATTTGATGGAAACAATTGAGTCAAAGTCCCCTACTCTTATCGGTGTTGGCCTCATTATTCACGTAAGAAGCTAAATCATGATGAACTGACCTGTTATTAATAGTTAGGAAGGACATTTGTCAGTCTTAGAGTCTAATGAATAGACCAATTACATATTTCAGTATACAAATTGAGTTGTGTTTTCTGGTTGTTCCTTGAGGTAGATGTTATGTGTGAGTGAGTAAGGGACTGCTGATTGGAGAGTGTTGAAAGCCAGCCAGTTAGACATTACTAATTAAAGAACTTTATCTGTCTCTGAAGGCAGAATGCATTAAACTGTGATATCGAACATTTTGCTGTGAGCTGTAAATTGTTAAAAGATTATTCTCTTTCTTCATTTGGGCTGTGAGTTGTAGGAAACTTCTTGGAAGAATTTTGAGGACTTTGAAATGGACTGAGCATAATTAGATGCTTTCAGGGCTTGGGTAGCAATGCAATGTGGGAGTTAGATAATAGTTGGCCAGGACAGAAAACCTGTACACACACACACACAGAGGGATGGAGGGAGAGACAAATAGACAAGAGGATCTTGTTAATTCATGGAATTGTAAAAACTAATTGTGTCTTGTATAGTTGGGTGGAAAACAGAATGCGCTAACAGAAGCACCCAAAGGAAAGAATTTGCCTTGTTGAAATGGACTGGCCATAATTAGATACCCTCAGGGGTTGGGTTCTGAAAGCAATGCATTGAAAGGGTTAGATCAGGGGTCCTCAGACTTTTTGAACAGAGGGCCAGGTCACAGTCTCTCAAACTGTTGGAGGGCCAAATTATAATTTGGAAAAAACATGAATTAATTGCTATGCACACTACAAATATCTTATTTGTAGTGCAAAAAACACTTAAAAACAATACAATAATTAAAATGAAGAACAAATATAAACTTATTAGTATTTCAATGGGAAGTGTGGGCCTGCTTTTGGCTGATGAAATAGGATTGTTGTTGTTGTTGTGTGCTTTCAAGTTGTTTCAGACTTAGGTTGACCCTGAACGAGAGCCGGGTAAATGACCTTGCAGGGCCGTATCTGGCCCCCGGGCCATGGTTTGAGGACCCCTGGGTTAGATAATAGTTGGCCAGGACAGAAAAAGGCTGTAGCACAGCTGGTTAATCACCAACAGCAATAAATCTTACCAGTCGAAAGGTTGGCAGTTCAAAGCCCGGATCGGGGTGAGCACCAAACCTTCAGTCCAGCTCACTGTCCGCCTTAGCAGTTTGAAAACATCTGTGAGCTGTAAGGAGAGAACTGAGGCACTGCTTAAGCAGAGAGGTATTTTACGGCATCATAAAACGGAAATACCAGAAAAAATCAAAAGAACAAGAAGTCTGTGATCAAGGGCTCTTCATCATAGAGGATGGAGCGACAGCACCCCCCTGTGGCCAGAATCGAGCACAACCTCAGGGCAGCAAAGCTGGGGAAAATGCTGACATAATACCTCTATCTGTTGTCTGTCCTGTCTGTTTAAATTGTGCACATAGTACTTTACAACTGAAGCCTAAATACTGAAAGAAAAGTATTAAATATAGTATGTGTCCTCAAGATGTTGCATTTCTTTTATACTCCCTCCATCTGACAAATGTGTCCAAATGTCTTTTATTCATTAAGGCTACATGCACATAATGGGGTGATGAAGTTAACACTTTGTTGTGTGTCTTTGTGTTTTCAGAGTTAAAAGCTTATTATGCAATGTTCAACTTGACATGATTTTGAATGAAAAAGAGTTTAAAATACCAGACTATTTGTACTGAACTATGATTATTTTTTGGACTCTCTATGATATTTTAGCTATTTATTTATTATGACTCACATAGTGAATATAGAATGCAGAAACTGAAAAGCAGTTCTCATTGTATTTTTTTCTTTACATTTCTAGCTCGCAAAAAAAATTCGGGAAAAGTTTAACCGTTACTTGGATGTGGTAAATCGAAACAAGCATGTAGTTGAAGCGTCATACACTGCTCATTTGACATCACCCTTGACGGCAATTCAAGACTGCTGCACCATTCCACCATCTATGATGGAGTAAGTATTCCCAGTAGCTGTTTCCTTCTTGTTATTGTGTATCTTCAAGTTGTTTTCAGAGTTAAAATATCATTATTTTAACTGCTCAGTTAGATCTGACTTTGAATGAGAAAGGCTTGTACAAGGGTTTGGAATAACAAACTACTTACAGTGAATTTTGATTTTGTGTAGATTTTGGAAATATGGCATTGTTTTACTCTAAATTTATACTTCACATTTCCCTTATCTAGTCTTTCTCTGTTTATGGTAAAGCATGAATGCAATGTGTTCATTATACAGAGTTTAGGCCTTATATGAAAGTTTAGCTATTTTAGCATGGGGATGTAATTGGTTTTGTTGGGTTTAATGCAATGGTTCTTAACCTTTGGTCCTCCAGTTGTTTTCGACTTCAACTCCTAGAGATCCCAGACAACTTACCAGCTGTTAGGAATTGTGGGAGCTGCTGTCCAAAACACCTGGAGAACTAAAGGTTGGGAACCACTGGTTTAATGTCATGAGGTTTGATTAATGTTCTGTGAAAAATTGAAGAAACATCTTTGTGTAAGAATATTATAAGTGGGAAGATTAAAGTGCAAAAGTTTTAAAACCCAATTTAAATACATGAAATAACAGTTTCAGAAACACAGTAAGTGCTTCTGCTTATTAAAAAAAATGCCATCATTGTTTTAGTGCTCTCTCTTGATTGACTGATCAAGATAATTGACCCATGTAAAACTTTGTAAATGGTAATAAAAATGTGTTATATGAAAATGGTAATTAAATTCAGAGAAATTGCAGAAAACACTGTCTGTAGTTCATCTTTGTCATTGTGAAAGGGAAAGGACTCAATTTATAAAGACAGCTCATAAATATGTAAATAAAAACAATGGAATTTGTATGCCACTCGTTGCAATTATATATTGTAAATAATTGTCAGATGTCTGAATGAATACCTTTCAAGTTATCCAGATTATTTTTTATATGATCCTATAAAAACATACCTGTTTAATAACTTATGACTTACTGATTTACACTGATCAAGCCATTGTTGGAACACGGGTACAAATTTAGTGAGAAGTTCCTTCTTTGAGTTACTTTTATTTTTTAATGGAATGATTTTTACAGTGTGGTTTTGAGAATACCAGTATGCCTTTCTTCCTTTACCAATCTCACCTTTCCTAGACTATTTTAAGATAACCTAGAAACAGCAGCGTCTGTTCCTTATAGGAGCTGCTATTCAGGTGTGTGAACATACAAGGGTATACTGGAAGCATTGAAATGGCTATGCATTTATTTCTGAATATACAGAAGTTTTGCATTGAAAATGCACAACATTGGGTACCATACACTGGGATCCAACTCAGTAGAAATTTGAAAAAGCGCAGCAGTTTGACTATAAATGCTCTCTCACACACACACTGAAATTGGCCCAAAAAACTAGAATTGAAAAACAGAATAGGAATTGTATTCAATTCCAATAAAAAAAAATCTAACATGCATCACTAGGCAAAAAAAAATCTGTTAAGCTTTTTAGAAGAAGGGGGAAAATAGAAAAAAAGCCACATAAAGTGGCTATGTGGTCACTTTAGGCTTTGATATTGGGGGGGGGGGTTATGGGGTGAGTTTAGGATTCCTGGTCTCACCGTGTCATAATCCACCTGTCCTAGATAACCTAAACCCTTTTTCTTCCTTATTTCTCTGGCCCTGTGGGGAAATATGGGGAAAGGGGGGCAGAGTCTGATGGCTACAGGGTGCACATTGCCCTGCGCTATTGAAGATGGCGAACAGAATTATTCTGGTATTAGTTCCACTCCATCAATGGCTGCCTTGCCGGATAACAATGCATTACGTAGAGAAGTTTAAAAAAAATGCAGGACAACAACACACATAGTTCTTCATAATATAATATATTAGCAAAGCAGACCCAGGTTTTCATAGACGCAAAGCAGGTTGTCCTAATGTGCTACTGAGGATTGAAGATATAGAAGTGCAATGTAGATGAAGACTAGGCAGAATGAGGAAAAAACAGGCTTCTAAATATTAGATTATGTCTATAAGCAAGAATGATTTACAAGATTTTTTTAAATCCAGATACTGAGCACGCAGTGATTAGAAACCTGTACTTGAAAAGTTCAGGTAGCACAATGTCATGGCCTCTACATGTTTTGGGCTCCAGTTTAAATCATTCTTGGCCAACATTGGGCCACTATGAATGGGAAAAGGCTGAAATAAAGAGACAATGCAAAATATCTGACCTGATAATAAGCAGCTTTGTATTTTAAATCAAAATTGTCCTCCTAGTCTCAGAAAAAAATATCGGACACTGCGTCATTCAAAGTAATAGTAATATACTCAGCCCTCTACATTTGCAGGTTTGATTATTTGTGGATTAGATTAATATCTTATGTATAGGAATTTCTAGGTCCTCCAGTGCTACTCTGTTGCCAGCTTCTACCAGAGGTTGACCGTGTAGTAACTCTAGAGATTGCTAAAGACAATTCCTCCTTTCTTATAACCCTGGGTTATAGGGCTGTGTGGAAGGGCCCTCAGAATACCAAGGCAGAAAATCCCACAATATCATGCTTTGAACTGGGTTATCTGAGTCCACACTGCCATATATTCCAGTTCAAAGCAGAAAATGTGGGATCTTATTCAGCTGTGTGGAAGGGGCCTAATTCAGGAGAGTTGAGATACAGATGAATGCCAAGGATCTGTCTTAAATGTTAGTCTCGGATTGATTGCTCTGCCAAAACCCTTGTCATATTTCATAGTTATTTACTGTACATTAACATTTAATGAGCTATATTTGCTCCAAACAAAGCAAAAGTGACAAATACTGTCAACGTGACAATCTCATTTCACTTTCCTGTTTCCTTTTGTCTTATTTGAGATTATATTCTACAAAAATTCTGCAATGAAAAGCCACATTGAATATTGTGATGCCTACAATTGCATAACTAAATATACACAGATTTTCTTTAAGATCAAACTACTAAACATTTTGAGTTATTTAATGAAAGGTATGGATCAGATTAGACCAGATTCCTCACTCAGGGGGCTTTTGATATTGGGATTTGCACTTTTACAATAGAAAAGTGAAGAATATGTAGAATTAAATGTACATCATGTATGACATTATGTGTATCATGTAGAAAATAAACAAGGAACTTTTTTAAAGTTTCTTTTTTACAACCATTACAAGCTGAATGATAAGAGATCCGGGACAGATAAACCAACATACATTGCCTACTTAATATATGGAATTTGCTACAATAATTATATGTATAAAATTACTATGGAAAGGAAATTAGATGAATTAATTGATGACAGGGCTGTGTACTACCTTATTGGGTTCTATAATTTTTCATTAGGATGGTGTTGCATAACAGTTGTAGAGAACAATACTGTGGGAAGGGGAACTTGGCATGTGCTTGGCATGTGCTTGGCATGCGCTTGTATCTTGAGCCTTGGGCTTCTTAAACAGGATGTTGAGCAAGATGAACATTGATCTGGCTAGTGTAGACCATTTACACTTGTTTGTATCTTCTTTATTAATATACTAGCTTGGGGACCCAGCAGTGCCTGGGTTATTTGAGAAAGGCATTGTTTGTTTTTTGAAGTTTAGTAATATCAGTTTGGTATTTATTAGAAAAAAGTCAGTCTTTCCTTTTGTTTTTTATGAATGCTCCCAATAGAAAATGCATAAAGATGTGGGTAAACTACAATTCCCAGAATTGTGAATCAATCCTTCCCAAACTCTGCCATTATTCAAATATTGGATCTGTGTGCCAAGTGTGGGACAGATCCGATATCAGCTGAGTTCAGTGATATCTGGTAAGGGTGAACTACAATTCCCAGATCCCCAGGGCAATCAATCACCCATAAACCCAGCCAGTAATCAAAGTTGCTCATGTTGGTTCTGTGTGTAAAGTTTGATCCAGATCCGTCGTCGGCTGAGTTCAGTGCTCTCTGGATAAGGGTGAATTACAACTCCCAGATTCCCAGGGCAATCACTCCCAAACCCTGCCAGTATGCACAGTTGGCCATGTTGGGTCTGTGTGCCAAGTTTAGTCCAGATTTGTCATTGACTGGGTTAACCGTGCTCTCTGGATGTAGGTGAACTACAACTCCTATAAATCAAGGTCAATTCCCCCAAACCTGATCATGGGGGTTCTGCGTGCTCTGCCTTGATGCAGGGTGAACTCCTGTTGAGTCAATCCCCCAAACTCCTCCAAATCTGTTCAGTTGCTGGTCAATTCCTTTCTGTTTGCTGTGTGCCTAGGAAACGGTTAAGAGAGGCAGTGGCCGGGGTCATGCAAATTCCACACAAGGAATCCTGGGATGCCTGCCTGTGGTAGAGGAAACACGTCAAATCTAGGATGAAATTCTCCCTGAATGAAAGCATTCCTTGGATGGTTAGTGTTTGGGAAGGACATTGGCAGTGTTTGGGCTACATGTTCATGGCACTCGCTGTAACCTGCAATGTCAGTTGAAGGAGTGCCTTTGGAAGCTTCCCAGCACTTGGAGCTATAGCCTGTTTGTGGATGTGGGGAGCTGTCTGTGTAAGTGGACACCTCCACCACATACACACATAACATTTTTCACTTTTATTATGTGTAGAGACGAGCACACATTTTCCCTTTACTTTGAGTGCTTTCCATGGGATAATTTTGTTTATCTGAGTACAGTTGCAACTTTAAAAGAATTTGTCTGTTTCAGAGATGGACCTCCAAAGCCTAAATCCTATTGGTAGTTTCAGCTAGAACAGACCCATGAAATCAGCTAGTGAATGGTTCGTCTGTACTTATGTAAAAGTTATTGGATTCAGGGTTGAGCATTAATAGGCATATGAAGACCCAAGTAGACCTGTGCTGGATACTGGCCAAAGGATAATCTCTTCCAGCATCCTGTTTCCAAAGCTTTAGGGAAAATCGGGTCATAAATCCATCTGCAATTCCTTAAGTAACACACTGCCTTTAGACCTGGAGAATATATTTAACTGTGATGGCTGATTGTATAAA